TATAGGTGCGACAAAAAGTGGCGCCAGAGGTTCTCGGACAACAACTCCCACGTTGTGAGTTTGCTGAAAAAGAGCGCGCAACGACATGGCTGAAATTTGAAGCTACATTACATGTTTTATCTATTCACAGCATAAAGTAGAATTAAGGTTGGTTCCCACACCTGCGACTGCTTAGGACCGGGTGCTTTAAGACCTCTTATAATCTCTTACGACTATATAAAACACTGGCGCCACCTATGTGGTGGCGGTGGAACCATTCTTTTTTTTTGGCTTGAAATAACCTCTGCCAATGTTATAAATGAGCATTGCTCATAGGCAGCACCGTATACATTTGATCTCACAGATAACGCAAAACCTTCACTCTAGTAAAATGCAGTTCCAGGGTTATCGCATAGATGGCGCCAGCGTGCCAGTGTGTGTTCTCGTCGTAAGAAACTTTTAAGAGGTTTTAAGGCGCACGGTCCAAAGGAGTCGCAAGTGTGTGAACGGGCCTCTAGTTCTAGTGAAGTTTGTATTAATGATAGCTTAGTACATGTGGCGTGAGAAGAAGTCGATAGGTCCGCAGTGCTGTTCCCATGGTAGCCTGAGCAGCTATTGTGAATTACATTTTAACATCTCGCTTTATTTTTATTTTTTTTCATTTTTTTTTTTTATTCTTTTAGGCGTGTGTTTGAGGCTTGCGTTTTATCCATGCTGGTTTCGAAAGCAAACATTACAAAACAACAAGTTACGTTACTCGGCAACAATTGATATTTGAGACTCACTTTAGTTGTGTGGGGAACATACTTTTTATTTTTAATTTGCTTCGATTTACTGCAATTCTTGAAAACGTCCATTTCATTTGTTTCTCTTTCAATATTTAACCTTAAAAAATTGTATTTAAATATTATTTTAACCTTATAAAATATAATAAAAATTTTATGCACCTGAGAATGTATCTGAAATATTTTTGCTTGCGCACCATCAGGTGGCCCTTTCTGGTGATTTCACCATATTCAACTAAATTTTATTAAAAAACAACTCGGTCTTGAAAAAATAGTCGATGTCTTCAAGAAAACAAAAGCAGTGCTAAAATATTTAACTGTATGTTTAGTGTTAACTGCAGCCCCTTGCGATTAATCTCTTTTTCTGTGTTTGACATTTCGATCGCCAGGCAGCGCCAGTTGTCGCTGCACAGTCAAATAGGCGGCAGCTGCCCGCTCCTCTCCTTCACGCTTTTTCCTGCAGGTGGCGTCGCCTTCTTTAGAATTGCGAATATAGTGTGCTCGCCTCTTGTACATTGGATCTGATACGGTGATACACTTGTGTGCCTATACGTTTGTGGCACTAAAATTTGGCGCGCCATATACGTTGTATGCAAGAATGCCTATGTACATGTTTTTTTTTTTTTTAACCTGAAAACCTTGCGTTCATCTGAGACTTTTTTTTTAACTTCGTAAAGTGTCTAGTAATCCAATATTCAGTCTACATTTTTTTATTTACAGGTTTTCATATACTTATTTTTGGTCATTCACTCTTTTTTACCGTCAGCAAAAACTGCCACCAAAATATGTAATCAATAACGGTTAGCTCTCAACGAACAACTGATTTTTGTTTCCATAAAGTGATACGCCATCTCACAGTATTTTATATTTGATTGTAATGACATATGAAACATCTTTCGGTTGTTACAGTATACAGAAAAATAGTAGGATAACGTAGCCTAATTACCCAGATTTCAATGTATTTTTAAGTGCCCGTAGACTTATGCGTCAACATGGAGGGGTGAACGGGTCGGCAATTCTATACAATGTGCCTGAACAGTTTCTCGGTTAGAGGTGGCAAAGTGCATCTTATCAAAATAGAGAATAGCTTGTGCATAGTAGGCAAAATAGATGTATCACGATGCTCTCTACAGGCGAAATAGTGTGCTATATACATAGAACGTACTATCCAAGAACATTTGAAGGATTTCGAAGCCTCTAAACAAAAATGTTCTGCGTTAGCCTTGCAAAATATTAAACTAATCTAATCGCAACTGTAGATAAAACATTTATGTCGCACATTGAATATATATATTTATGTATATATTAAAAGTTATATTGTTCGCTCTTCTAGTCTACTGTCAGCACATGCGCCCAATTGCGAGTATGATTAGGAAAAGAATGTCTGCTTTCTATTGGCAAAGCGTTCTGTGAGACAATAGCACCGGGCTTCACTTGTAGCTTTTCATTTTTTTTTTCGTTACAGGTATTTGAGAAAACAGAATATGACAAACAATATTGCAATATTTAGAATCTCGACACGTGATATTAAAGCTTTACATAAAACATTGTGATAAATAAGTATACTTTGGTCAGAACTGTTGTCGGCATTTTTTTTCTTCATCAAGCTCATCAATTTTTCACAACATAAAAATTTAGTGTTTAGAGATGTTAAACTGAGAATAAAACAAACTCTGAGGTACGCCATTATACTTTACATCGGTGGTGATCTCGAATCGAGGTATTAGCTTATTTATTTATGAGACAATAAAGTGTCGGCTTTTATCAGACAAAATATTGGCTCTGCTTTTGCATAAACACATCTTCCTGTATGTTTCTGTTATATGCACTGACTAGACACAATCTTCATAAAACTATGCAACTAAAAATATCGATCACAGTAGCAGCGAAAACAACACAGCAGCTCCAAAACACAGGTATCTAAACACGTACCAACAAGAAAACAAGCTACAAATGTTTGTCCTGTGGTTTGTTTTGGGGCATTTTCTTGCACCCCTTGGTCCCAGGATACAACTCAACACAATTTACAGCATTTGGTTGCACACGTTCGATAAGGCTCATTTGACATCGCTCCGGGATAGGAATATGTGTTCACTGCAATGTATTGGGTATTCAAAACCCCAGCTGCAATGCTTTTTAGATAAACCGAGTAAAGGACAAAGGTTCAAGAGCATCTTCTCGCAAATCAATATCCTATACGCTCCACAAAATGTATTCACAGATTTTGCAAACTGTAAACAAACTAAAACAAACATCGATCACTATACTTAGTCTCATCCTACGATGAACTAAATTCCAAAGCCACGGGCCCTCCCAGGTCCAATCACGATCCACGCTAAACTCTGACATACTTAACATTGATTATGGATGGACGAATAATGCTCCGAATCAAAGAGCGCTGCATCATTTCTATAGCTTCGACACTGCAAGAAGCCTTATTTCGTGGCATTCTTTGCAATGTAAAATTCATGAGTCATTCACTGCTATTTTATTCAAACCACTGTCCGCTCGTCCCCATAATAGTGATCCGAGACGCTGGCACCGATACGTGCATCGAAGCGAAATACCACGCAATTTCTAAATGGCTCGAGATTGGATCTGGCGGTCCGTAACTATTGCCTTTAGTCCATCGCAGGATAAGATAAAATGTAATGACAATGAAAATACAAAAGAAACGAAGGCGAAAATAACTTCTAGACACCATTCGCATTAAATTATTCGTACCGTCTACTTCTTGCGTTTGTTGTAGCAATGCGTGTTGCAAGTTCGTCTGCTTCTTTTGCTGAGGTTGTGGTTACGTCAGAACGTCCAGCTCTGATTGGCTTTGATTGACGGATAGTGGGTAGACCTCAAGGCAGCTTGCTTTAAGGTTTACTCACTATCCTTCAAACAGAGCGAATCGGAGCTCGGTGTTCGGACGTCACCACAACCCCTGCAAAACGAGCAGACGAACTGGCGCTCTGGATTGTGTTACTTGAAGCGGGCTTACCAGACCATATGAACGACCATCAAACCGCTTTACATTCCTCAATTTCTCAGTGATTATGCACAGAATAAACTAAGTTAAGAAAGTAATTAAGCCCAAAAGGATATCATGGACAGAAAATGTTGTTACACCGTCTTGGTTTAATGTGGTTAAATTTCCCAACGAACTATAAACTGTATGACGCAATATATATATATTTTTCAAATTGTTTTGATTTCGGTACTTCAAAGGTCTGCCATATTATTCTAGAAGTGTACGTTGGTTTTCTATTGCTTGATTAGAGACGGGTAATATAATTACAAAAAGGTTCTTCGCCGCCGTTAGAACCTCCCATTCGCCACTTTTTGGGAGTTCATGTTAAATTAGCATTGCATTACTGCGAAAAATTTCAGCGACAGGGTAACTTAGTTTGAAAAAAGTGCAATGGGAATTATGCTAATGCAATTAATGAAAATTTGCAGGCGAGCTGGACAAGAATGATGATAACGAATGGCAGAAATGATTGTGTTAATATTGTCACAAGTCTCCAAACTGAAGCATATATGTTTGACTTTACACCTTATGCCATTAGATCTCATACTATACTTGTGTTCCTGATACATAAATACATCATTCAAATTGTAAAAAAAAAATAGTACAGTAACGTACACCCTAATAAATGGAAAGAGCGATGTTCCGAATCAACATTTCATTTTTTAAGTTAATGGACTAATGAAAGTAAGCATTTGTATGTGATATAGCGGTGCTAGAATGTAATAAGAGGCACATTCTTCTAACTCCAACAAATCCGAAAATTCCTCTTATAAACCTAATGCTTCATTGAACACACCAACTTGGTTCACGAATCCAGCTCTTCGAACAATAACAAACTTGATTAACCCACATAAGTTTGATAGTATAATTTTGTTCAAGCGGGTGCACCCTATACGTTGGGAGGCCGAAACGATACATCAACATTTCACTTCTACGGACAGAAGTTCAAAAATGTTGGCTAGCCGGCCTTAAACTACCCAAGTCCTGTTTCCTTTTTTTTTTATGGCATGAAGAAGTTTCACAGCTTCAAAAACTTCTAAAGTGTTTGACAAGCGTCGTGAACCTCGAGAGGGTGACAAAGTTGGCACAATCAGAAGTATTGTGCTAAAAAAATTCGTAACATCTGTGTAACGATTGCGTTTTTGTTTGCAGAACTTGAGAAGTGTGGGGTAGACTAACATAGTATAAACGGCCGCTAGAAGCATGACCTTCTGGCATTTTCAGCATCAGTTTGTGTTTATTTTGTGTTTCTTCGACTCTTTAGTGCTCAGTTGAGTTCTTTTTTTTTCTAGTAGCTTTACTAAGCATTGAGAGTATAGTGTCTGCTCTTCTTTATCGCAACAATGAGCTTTCTATAGGCAGTGGAGTGCAAAATTCAAAACAAATTTACGCGTCAATGTTTCCAGCTCACTTGCAAGCAAACTCTTGGCGTCGACGGCACAATTTCTAGATTGTTTCTTGGATCGCTATGAGGCAGCTTTCGCAGACGGCACCTTGCTTCGTAGGAACCAAATTTTAGGCATCCAGGGTTGGGAAGTTGGACTGTGGCACACGCGCGCACGTTGCTTGATGATACGCACGATTGTGCCTTCTGATGCTTGTTCTTTTTGGTAGATTCTCTGACGGCGGGTTCACGGAGCGAACAAGTGGGCTTCTGTGAACGCTTGCCAGCAGCGTCGTTCACTTCCTGAAATTGATATCGAATCGTAAGGCTCCCGACTAACGAAGTGTGAGAAGATGCACACCGCGTGTTTCACCGAACGCCCGCCAAACTTTTCGGATAAAAACTACACATTGCTAAAAAAATAGGATCTATACTGTCACTGTGTTAGTCACTGTCATGAGGATTTTAATAAGGGGTAACTCCGGTACATTTGTTTAGATTAAATATTCAGTTTTTAAGTTAGTTAGGGTTAGTTAGGGTTAGGCATTCAGTTTTTAAGTGAAGAGAGTGCCCCTAATTACGAGGCGTCCTTTTTTTTTCCCGATTCTTTGTGTAGTTTCGTAGATATCCCATCTCAAAGTTTTGTTTCGGAGGTCTACGGTGAAACCGAAACTACCTGCTTGAACATGATGGCAACCCTTGCGATCACCTGCATGGCTGTCATGTGACGACAAGTTCATCTTGCCGTACCGCAAAACGTGTGCCTGTCCTAGTCGTAGGAGCAGTTCCGATCAATCAGGTAAGACGCTACGGCTGTTACTGCTTTGCTTTACAGACATTAGACATCCGCAGAAAACATTCATAAAGTTGTCGGTTGAAAAGCCAGTTTGCCACGATGAACGCCTGCTCAGCACAAGCCCCCACTTATCCTCTGAGAAGAACTACAATCTTGGTGATGTGAAATGCACGTTGCAGAAGCGTTGTTTAAGTTAATCGTAAGCTCGCGCTGAGCAGGAACGGACTAAACATGGCCGCCAGGGAATGCCATTTTCGATACCACAACGAGCTTTACCGAGCAGAGAGTCAATAATCTTCGTGTACGGTCGCCGAAGTGCACTTACAAAACTACGGACGCTAAAACACAACATAACATAAGCAGAAATCGTCCGATGGGTCGGCTGAAAACGCAAGGCCGAAAGAAGTGGCAGTGCGAACAAGAAACCTCCTTTAAACGGAGATGGCAGCAGGGCACAGGGTTGCTTGACAAATAGCCGACCCACTGAATGCCCGCCGAAAATCTGCAGCGAGTAGCATTTTTAATATCAGTTTTAGAGTGGTTCGCGGTTTCCCATTAGTGCAATATTATAGCAGCCCCCGTATTGCGTCTCCAAAAAAATCGATATCAGCCATTTACTTTGGTTCGACTTCTGTCCGAAGTTACCCTTTAACCTTTAGGGCCCCTACGCACATTTGCGTTTGAGAGCCTTGGAGTGCGTTCGACTGCGTTAGGTATAGAGGGTATGTGGTTAATTAGACATTTAATTAGTGTTGCGTAATATTTATTTTTATTTAGTGCAACATACCTGTAAAGCTACAGTTAGAAACTGGCTGGGAACTATCAAAAATCTATTCCATCGTCAGTTTTAGAAATACTGTTTTACAGGTTACTGATAGGGTATCAATATTTCTGTACGTTGCATTAGTTTTTGCATAAAACCTTTGGACGACGTGTGAGTTAACATTTAAAATATACAGTGGGATTTGCACAAAAAGAGTGTTTGGATGCCAACTTTTTTTATGTTCACATGCATCACACCGGGCAACAATGAGGTGTGCGATACTAGCATACAAAACTTGAAAGTATAAAACAGATAGTTTTAGTGAAAGTATAAATGAAAGATGTCCGGTTCCCGTCCTCGTCCTCTCTGTTTTATACTTTCAACATTATTACGAACCAGCGCAAGTAGACAGTTATTCAAAATCCAAACACACAAAAAAATACACTCACACAGCGCTGAACTATCAACTGAATTGTATTTCAAACTTCCTCTTCTTCGACCCCAAGGAATAGGTTGCCAAGGAAGAAAAGGGGAAAGACAAGGCAAATGGGGGAAGGCAAAAGAAAAAGAAAAGGTAAACAGATGAATAGAAGACAAAGGAAAGGGGAATAAAGGAGAATAAGACCAGATGTCCAAGAGTTACAAAAATTACAAAAATTACAAAAATTACAAAAATTACAAAAAATTACAAAAACTCTTGAACTCTGGTCTATTAGTATTATCATTATTTGAACTGTGCTTTGCGTGTATGTATTCTTTTTCTGTGAACATCCTTTACATGAATTTTTGTCTTTTTTTTTTTGTTTTGTTTTCTGTGCCACTGCTGCCAAATGTAAGGATGGGGGGCCGAGGACTTGTCAAGCTGCATCATGCAGCTTTTTTCCTCGGTCTCCCTCCGTCATACACTTTTGACGGAAAATAAAACATATTATTATTTTCACTAGCTGATTGTTCCATCCCCAAGCGATATGTTCCTGCATTCGTTCGAGTTTGACAGGAGCCTGACGTTCAATTAATTAACCTAAGACCGGTAACAAACTCGGACTCTCGTCTCATTAGAGCAAGTGTAAATCAGGGTTTATAAATAATAGTTCAGTTTTTTCTCTTTTTTTTTCTTTTTTGTAATGTAACTTGCATATTGTTATAGAAGAAATCATATGAGAAATCACGGAGTGAGAGACCCATTTTTTTATTTGTGCTTGCAGCTCGCATAAAAAAAAGAAACCCGAATACCCAGAAAGTATAAATATTGGTTATGCGCCGAGAAGCTGAGGGAGAGGAGGAGACGAAAGGGGGCGTCAAAACGACGATCTCTGATTGGAAGGATTAGTGGGTAGACCTAAAACTATCTGCCCTTGTCTCCACTGCATGCGTCGAACGCGTTGAAATGAAGAACGCCGGCGTCCGGCTCTCGCGTTCTAACAGGTTGGAAGAGTGCAGTGGAGGCAAAGGCAGCTAGTTTTTTATCTACCCACTAATCCTTCCAATACGAGATCGGCGTTCTGACGTCCCATCTCGTCTCCTCCTCTCCCTCAGCTTTTCGGCGCATTAGCAATGTACTAGAAAATGTCTTGTTATACTTACGTTAAGTAGCCACTTCTTCACTTTATGCAAGCTAGGACTGGACGCGCGCTACACTGCTGTCGCCCCTGATAAGGAGAAAAGGCCGAAACATATTTGGTATCTTAAAATTCGCACATTTCTAATATCAGAGATTTAGTTCGACTCGCGAATTGCGAGTTATTAAGTTATATCTTTCATAAACTTTTATGTCTAGCTTGATTTACCATTCAGGTCCCTTTCATTTTTATTTTTGATCGAGTCTGCTTTTAATAACGAATATCTCAAATGCTATTTCAGATGTTTATTGGCTGCATACACCATAGTCATTGAAAGCTTAAGACACGCAGGGTGTGGCTCAGTACGTTCACGCTTCGTGCTCCGTGATCGGTCCTTCGGCCATTTTTATTGACAAATGCCACAGTTTCATTGGCTGCGGAGCGATGATAACTCACTGGGGACTCGTCATGCTTTGCCTATCTTAGCTGTCGTTGACTCTACATCAAAAATACATAAGCGGAAAGTTAGAAAACAAATACAATTCAAGGATGGAAGTCAATGCTCTTAGCGTTCGACCACGGCCGCTTGAGTCTATCTACACGATATCACAGTTAACATAGTTCAATTTTAACTTCTGATGGTGACTTCTTTTCTTCTTTTTTTAAGTTTTGCACGATTTGCGTACGTAAGCTTGATAACTGTCGCACTGTCAAAGAGTGCACATAATTGCACAATATAATGCTTTGTTGAGAGAGAATGATCTTTATGAGCGCATGGATTACCGGGCGTGGGCTTACGCTGGCTCGGAGTTTTGACGTTGCCGTCCAGGGTCGGGCTGCCATTTGTAGAAGCCAGCGGGGCATATTTTTTCTTGTTTCCGGGCGACTCCGTCGGCATCGTCTCCATCACAAACTCTTGAGATTTGTCTGCATGGGGGAAAAAAAAAAGCGGGACCTCTTCCAAATGCATACCATAGAATTGCAACCCACCGTAAAGGAGCAGCAAAATGAATATGTTAAAAAAAGAAAAGATCAAAGCCTGTACTATGCCTTTTTTCTTTTCAATCTAGCAATGCTTCGTGATGATTTTAACTATATTATTCGCGACTTTGTGTTTTTATATAACTTGTCGCTTGCTAATGCCTTAAGTGAAAGCTATGCCAAATACATAACCAAGGCAACGCTAAATACTTAACTAAAATTGATTTAGCTAAGTAGCCTTGCTTTTTTACACCTTATCGGTATTTAGTAAATAAACATCTCGTTTTCGTGAATGTAAAATATTCAACCTTTGCCCAACCTCAAGTGCAGTTGTAAAAGTTGACTGTTCCAAAGGAAAAAAAAGAAAAAAAAAAAGAAGAAATCCCTAACAGCATCGTTGCTGCGTAGAGCTTGCTGGTATTCTTTAATAATTACATTCCACTTAGCAATACAAATCACGTACGTCAATCTAAAAATAAAATAAGAAAAAAAAATTATTCAGTTTAGTTTAAATGTCAACTTAATCATTTTCAGTAAACGTTTTTGTATTGCCCCCTAATGTGTCACTTTCTTCTCTATAAAAACCAAACCGCTCTCGACAAACAAGTGAGCGTATGGCCACACGGAGTGTAGGCACTGGGCACGCGCAGAAACCAGCTTTGTGATAAGTAAAGCGTCTGTGGGTGATGGGGGACCCAAACCGAACAAATTTGTCGCCACCGGTTTATAAAATAGGGTTTTCGCAACGGAGTGCGGCGCGCTTGCGTTTCCCGCTTGCAGCGTCAATGCGGTTAACAACTGTATTAACTAAAAAAAGAAAAAGATATTAAAAAAAACGTAAGACATGTTATCTTGACAAGTACTTTTTGTTCGCAAATAATAATTAAGGTAAAACCACATTAACCTGTCTAAAACAAGAGACAATCTAAAATCGGTATGAATATTGTTAGCTGTTTTCGGTCAAAACAGTCGAATCAGTGGCGCTCTAATCTGGCGCTCGGTCTCGAATTGTTTTTGACGTTTGTGTGCCGCGTTGACCGTCTGTCGCTAAAAATTTAGGCCTTTAACTATGCTGAAATTGAATCGAACGCTGGCGAGCATACTCTTTGAGCAGCTGCTTTATTTTAATCTGAGCTGCAGCGGCTTGAAGCCTTAGAAGACTTGTTTTAAAGGTTCAGCCAACGTTACAAGAACACTCAATCTGGAAACCTACCCTTGAAAGCCGGACCACTAGTGTCCACCGAGACTGAACAAGAGTAACGTTGGCTACAGGTAACGTGCCATGAGCACTCGGCCGTTCGAGCCAAGAAAATTCACTCAGAGTCTCGGAGTAGCGAGACGGCGTGCCGACGGTTACCGCGTCTCTTTAGGCTTAGGAACGGCCAGAATCGGAAGACGATCTGTAAAATGGGGCGAGCTCACCCGTTGACTATCTGTGATTTGAGCGAGATAAAGCGAAGCGAAAGCCGGCTGCACCATTCAGTGGCAGTGAACGGGGCTAATACGGCAGCGACCATGACGAATTCACTCCGAAGCGAGCGGAAAGGGCGCTGTCATGTTCGCCGACGCAAACCCGGCCCCGAGCAAATAGGGGCCCCTACGCCGTTTCTCGATTTTTGCGTTAGGGTCGAGCGCCAACCCAAAACCCAAAACGAAGTTTGAGTTCGACGCATGTGCAGTGGTCAGCCCCCATTTGTTAGGAGCCCCCGAGACTTTGGTGGCCCCTATTCTAAAACTCTCTTCTGCCAACATGATCGAGGTGGTGCAACTTTGGACAGCGATGAAATGCGAGCAACTCACGGTGCGGGATGTCGTGATTGTAGCGCGACCTGCAGGCGTTGTACAGCGGGCAGCGCGGCCAGAAGCAGCACACGATGACGAGCAGGGTGAGCGCGAAGCACGTCAGCGTCACCGAGACAGCGATGGCCGTCGCCAGCCTGCACGCACGAGGTCGCGTCCGTTGGCGATGGCGTTGGACGCAGACAAGAGGAATCAGAGAGATGCAGTCACTGACAGAATGATACAATACAAAATCCTCACCTCCCGTCTTATTTTTCTTTTCCCTCTGCACAAATGGAGCGTTAGCGGTTCGAAACCTAAGTTTCATCACTATTCGGTGCCTTATTCAAAAGTTATGAGTGATTTTCTGAAACTTTCAAAGGCACAAGGTCGGCAGACGGAGTTCTCGACGACATGGAGCACAATGGCGCCAGCTACCAAGAGTGGGCCGAGTTTTTCCATTGAAATTGTCAAAAAAACTTACTGGTAACTTTTTAATAAGATAACGATTAGTTTTAAAACTTTGGGATCTGGTTTGTACCGCTAGCGCTACCGCTTGTGCGGAAAATGAGCGTTCGGCGAAGCGTAGTTTATTTTTCCGTTAAAAAGAAATATGTAAATTTTGTTTTTGGACACGCTGTAGATGCCTGGCCTCCAGTATACGTGCTCGGTGCACTCCGTTGTGGTTTGGTTGCGCGTGCACGCTGGAAGCTAACGATAATGCCGAAGCGTTATCGAAGGCAGGAAGCACGCGCTGGATTCGGGACAAATGAAAATCCTCCTTTCCGCTTAACCCTGTCAGCGACTAAAGTATCGAGATTTAACAATTATATATCCGTATTAACGCGTAGCAAGGAGGACCTTCGAATAAACGAGGGGACGATAAATACAAAAATCATTTTTATGCTCTAAATAAAGAAAATCTTAACAAAATAACATTAGTTTCTCCCATACAACCCTAAAATAGCAATATTGATTGACTGTTCTCAGTATCTTTCGCGGCAAAACACTGGTATATTCTGCAATTTCTTGGGACTCCTTCTTATGTTCTGTAAGTATGGTAGCTATTGTACTTTTCATCTTTTTCTATTTATTTTAAAGTCATTTTCTTTACTTTCTATTTGTGTTTAAAAAAAAAACATTATTTAAGCACCACCGCTAAGAAATATTTCCCCCTCACTACGGTTCTTCCCCCGACGTAAAGAAAGAAAAAAAACAAGATTCCAAAAATAGTTAACGAAAGGGAATAACGCGGTCGAGTGAAAGTCGTATTAAGACTAAGCCGATAGGGCGTAATTTAATAATTAGTAATGAAATTTGAACCGTCTGAACAATTACAATATATAAATAAATAAATTTTTTCTGGGTTTTGGCATATCTGATGTATCCCATTTCTATTTTATATTCAAGGCGCAGGAAGAGGAAAACGCGCGCGATGTACATGTACTCGGGTACCCTACCCGCGTTTTTAAAACGACAACAAAATCAAACGCAAAGAAACAAATAAAAAAATCACCGAATCGGCTTATGACTGCTTTGTGTAAGTTAATTATTTTGTCAAGGGGCTTCGGTCCTCAAATCCCAGGATCGTCAGGTTGCCCCCCTCCTCCGTCTCTCGGTGTTGATTGCAGAAAACCTTATAAATAACCCTTCCCATACTAAAGCGTGAAACACTGGTAAGCAAAAACCGCGTCGCGTGTTGTTGCCGAAGGACGTAACCATAGCAACTGTAGCTGACGTTGTGACGTCAGCGACAGCTGCTATGGTTACGCTGTTAAGCGACGCGACGCGACGCAGGTTTTTTGGCTTAAAGAGCCTACATTTCGGAGAGGGAGCAACTTAAACCACGGGGAGCGTTTGCATTATAATGGCGGACGCCTCCTGCGCCGATTAGTCACGAGGGTGGGTTCACTGCGCTGTCGGGTGGCGAGGAGGAAAGGCTGAGACGCTTACAGACGATCAACGCTTTCGTCACCTCCTCGCAGCTCGTATAGCAAACGTAACCCATAAACCACGTGACCTCGATGGAACAGTTGGAAACTCTCTGCAATACAGGCTCTGTAGTTTTTGCTCACACTCGTTTCACGCTTTAAGTTTTATTGAGGGACCGCTCACTTTTCGAAGGACATGATATACAAAAAAACCAAGCCACGGAAGGTAAGAAATGTACAAAAAAGTTTTGAGGGAGGGCAGCGTACGTGTTGTCAATCTCGTAGAACCATCTGTCAGGAGGGCAGCATTTGGAGGCCTCTGGGCCACAGCACTCCGTGTAGTCCGGTGGGTGGTAGATGCCCGGGCAGTGGTAGTAGTAGTGCTTCCAGCTGGTGATGTTCAGCAGGTCGCTGCTGTTGGCGGGCATCTCCTGCTCCAGGTGACTCATGCATGTCTTGGCCGCTGCACACGCCACCACGACGGTTCGCGTTTGATCATACGACGGGACGTTAAACCCCAGTCGACAGCTATGCAACAGCGCAGGAAGCGCACGAAAGCTAATTTGATTCATTTTCCGGTATATCGGCCTTGTCCCATAATAAAATATGTAAGTTCAATCTTCGTCGCAATTATTACTTGACAGCTAGTACAAAAGTCCGGCAATCGGAAGAATGTTCTGCATGCGCTAATAGAGGATGCTTTCATCTTTACTATTTTCCACCCTTCAATCAATAAAGTCAAGGTTTCTTTTTTTACAGCGGAGCTTTTAAGGGCTTGTTTCTCCAGGATTGTGTCCCCCGCAAAGAAATGAAGACACCGAACTCTGGACACCTACCGCCATCTATGAGCGACGGCGGTACCCACGTGTCTGGTTGACGCCGTTGCTCATAGATGGCGGCAGCCTTTCCACTCCGGCTGGCGACTTGCGGCCGGCCATTACTTTCCATTGTACAGCTCCGCTGGTCTTCCTTCTTCACCAAAACTAAAAAACGGAAAATTTCTTCTTTTTTTTTTGGGGGGGGGGGGGGGGGGGGAGGGGGGGGGGGAGGGGGGGGAGGGGGGTTGGGTCAAGTTTTAGCAATAAAATATCCTCTCAATCATCCCCCATTTCCCCTTTCTTCTTTCCTACATACAGTCGGGGTTTCCGAAACGGCGTGACGTCAAGTACAGGATTAAAACATAGTCGTTTAATAAATACCTTTTCAACAAAAACAACACACACACACACATTCAGGGGGAAAACTGACCATTTCTCTATATAAGGCATCAAATGGCCATCCAATTATTTAAGATTAGTCACAAGTGCTTCGAGATTCCTTTTTAGAGACACACAAGACAGAAAAGGTATAGACTTATAATAACACGCGATTCTTTAATCGCTCATTGATAAAAACGTAACCGTTTGAAGAGTTGTTGTAGGAAATTTTTAAAAATCTTCTTCTAGAAATTACTTATCATAAGCGGGTATTCTTATCCTTGTTGATACTCATACACCTCCATACACGCGCCGCAATTGATCTTCCATAAGTCGTGCGTCTTTCCCCAGCATTTTTTTTTACTTAGTCTGCCTTTCCGGCAACCGTTATGGTTACCTACTGCTAAATGTCGATATATCCTTACATCGGCCACTCTCGTATATCCCTTTTTATCGCTCGTCTCTATTCTGCGAGCAACTCTTATCATAAGCTTGCCAGTCAGTCGCGCTACATGTATTGTCTTTTTTTTTTTTTTATAATTATTGTTAAATGTATTTTAAGTTTTATGTTCCTTACTTTTATAACCGAATGATTTCTTGCCTCTCAAAGAGATGGCGCTGCAACCGCATTAACAAAACCCCTGTTCTTCTCATCGCTTAGCTTATTAAAAGTACAAACGTATGTTACTATACATTTCTTTATGTGAGACATGTGTCCTATTTTTAACGTGTCTCGCTATTTCAACTTTTTGTGTAACTCGAATAGCGCCGTTACACCTCTCCGGGACCGCATCTTGAGTGTAGGCCAAACTGCTCTCGTTATATACAGCATCACATTTTTATTTAAACTCGCAATGACCAAACAACTTTTAAAAAAATAACGAACCATTTTGGGGGTTTTGACGCATTGCGGAGGAGAACGCCCCCGAAGGATCCACCATCCCTACAATCCCAACACTCGACAGCGTCAACCGAGTTTTAAACATTGTCCCGAAGGACATTCGCGCGGCGTAAACGGAAAAAAACACCAACAAACACACACAAAAAAAAACATCTTTGTATCTTTCGAAAGAGAATACAGACGCGTCAGAAACTGCGCTTGCCCCCAGACACGGGACGCGACAAACTCTGTCGGTCCCAGGAGAGAACCACCAGCGATATTTGCTCTTGTTCTCCCTTTTGTGGCCGCCTCTTCTTTTTCTTTTCTTTTTTTCATTTCTCCGGAGGAATTGACTCAAGCGTGAGGAAGACATTCGGGTCGATAGTCCGCTTTCGCTCGGGTAAACCAGACGATATTGACCAGCAGGGCTGTCGCGTACCACCCGGACCGAACCGCTACAACCGGCCATAACCCTCGCCATTTTTCTGTGTGTGTGTGTGTCGCAGGTCCCTTGTTGCCAGTCGGCGCCACTGGGCGGCACGCAGGCGCCCTCTAGGGAGAAGTCACGCAGTTTCAGTCAGTCGGGGCTCGTCCATGCGGCGCGCGCGGTAACTATTCTCCCGTTTCGTCTTACGATGCTCCGCAACGGGCGCTGTGAGAGCCACGCCAGCCAATCCGGCTCTACGAACGAATCGTGAGACTGCGTTCCCCGCGCGTCGCTGCTCCCCACTCGGAGGACACGCGGCCTTGGATTGGTTTTGACGGATCGGAGTGTCGTCTGCGGTTCGTCCTGAGACACTCGTAAGCTGACAGTGCGGGGGAAGTTGCACGCTCTCCGGGTCAATCGGCCGCCTTTCTTTTCATCTTCTGAACCCGCTCTCCGCGCGTGGGTACACGGCCGGACTGGATTCGAGCGCTTCTTTGTCGTGCGGCCTTTTCCGTCACAAGAGAAAGCATGAGCATCTTTCTGGGGGGGATCCCCGCTACCACCGTAACCCCGCTGCTGGAGTACGTTTCTCGTGACTCAATGGTCTATTGTCGTGTTCCGAATTGCACGTCAACATCGGGGAAGACTTCTGGCGTGTCTTTCCACGTGAAAAAGAAGATACCAAGAAAGACCCTTGTTGTCAACAAGCACTCATTTACGGTGTGTTCGTGAGGACCTCTATTCCCGTTGCAAAGCATTTAGCAAAATATTGCTTCGATGGCAATTAAATGAATAAACGAGAGAATGCTCACACCCTCCGATTTTTGTGCCCTGGTACTACGCCGGGGAGAGTCAAGGCCTGTTCACACATGTAGCGGAGCGCTACAAGCGTAGCGCTAACCTCGCGCTAAGCGCGTGCTGACGGGAGCGTTCACCAGCTTTGTGTCGCACCGTCAATACTGCTGTTCATGGCAGACAATAAGTAGCAGACGACACGTGAGAAGCGCTACATTAGCGCTTCGCTGCATGTGTGAACCGGCCTTCAGCATCCAGGCCTTCGACCAGCGCTGTAATTATGCCTTTTCTAGTGATTTTCAAAATGCATACTCAAAATTAACGTCCACCGCCGGGCACCGAGAATCTAGCATCACCTTACGCGCACGTCGCATTTTCAGCGCAACGTAAGGAATAGTGCATAGCAGTCTCCGCGAGAGTTTTGCAAACAATTTAAGCGTCCGCTTCTTCTTTGTCGACTTCTCCAGCTTGCTTTGACCGGAGTCCATACTCGTAGACAACTTTCTGTGGCATTTCCAAAGAGGGGAAGAGCGCACGCGTGCACAGCTTTGATCAGCAGTCAAGCGTGCGCTCCCGTACCTTTGATTGCATGTATACACTCCGTGCGGGAACTATAGGGGGCGCTTTGAAAAATGCGCGCAGCGCCGCTAGCGGAGGAGCTGGCGTTCGACCGTGAGGCGCGTTCAGCAGCTTGCGGCGCCTTTTCGCATGCCAAGCTGTGGCGGTGGAAGCGCGCACGGACGAAACTTTTGCTTTTTGAGCCGATACGTTGAGGGTGACGTTGCATGAATGCTGGGGCAGACCTAAGAAGGGCATTTAGCTGTTCTCCTCTTCTTATATATTGAGTTTTAGTCGTTATTTGGGGGAATTTCTCTAGTTGCGGCCAAAAAAGGAGTTGGAGCAATTTTACGAAAAGCAAGACGGCCGCCACCATAATTGCTTTGAGTAGGAAATTTATTTCGTTCGTCGCTGTAAACGTAGGACTGCTGGAACGATGATATTGGAGGCGAGTGAGATGTCCACTAAGTTTCTGCACGAAGTGTGCCAAGTTTCATTAAGACAGCAGGTGTGAAAGTTCTTTCTAATAATGCTGTGTTATAGCGGGCTGTGCAAAGTGCAGATTTGGGCACACAGGTGCTTGGACTTGACAGTAACATGACACAGCACTTATTATACAAAAAACAAAAAGGTGGCACCAGGTGAAAATTTGGTTTGGGCGGCGTAACTCAATGGGAACCGGTTTTGACCATGAAAAGGCTGTCAAGGGAATACCACTGGTCGGTGGAGGTGGAGACTTTAGAGGTGGGAAGGGACTAGTGGACTGTACTTCCAATTGAAACAACTTTACGAAAGGTGGTTCCAAAGCCGAGAAAACGAAGTTGTCGGCCAACACACGGTTTGGCCGCCAAGGGCTTTTGCGGTCAGCTGTTGTGTAATAACCTGTTGTGCGAGGTGCTGATTTTCGGCCCACAGGTACTTTGACATGACAGTCACTTGGCAGAACACTTATTATCACAAAAATAGTTGGCATAGCGAAACCAGGTGGAAATTTAGTTTGGGCGGCGTAACTAAATGGGAACTGGCTTTGACCGTCAAAGGCTGTCAGAAAATACCACTCATGGTGGGAGGTGCACACTTCACAGGTAGGAAGGGACCAGTGGACGGTACTTCCATTCGAACCTATTTGCGATAGGTGGCTCTAAAGCCGAGAAAAAAAAATGTTCTCTACAGAACTCGGGGTGTCAGTGTTTCCACATCCAAAAGGAGGCTGATCAAGAAAGAAAGCACACCACATAAACTTCCATACTCAAACGCCGATTCTCCAGTGGTTCTGAGTTTCATGGTAGTTTTTTTTTAGATTTATATTTGTCACTTTCTTTACGGTTCAAATCTTTCTTCATGAAGTACAGATTGCGTGCCGTATTTGTCCGGAAATATCATCGACAGGTACGATGGGGACGAAACTTCTTTGGAGGGCATTCCTCCAACGAAATTGGCATTGCATACCCGCGAGTGTGGGATGGCATTTCAGTTCGTCCCATCGGCGCTGACACATGTGGGCGTTACTGGTACGAAAACAAACGCAGAGCGCAAAGCGGCAGTGCAGAATATGTCAGGCGTGCCGACACAGTGGCAGACATGATCGGGACACCAAATTTCTCGCG